CCGGCCAGCTCGTCACGCGGGAGGAAAGGGCTGGAGCGGAGAGCGCCGGAGGGACGGCCGACAACGGTGGAGAAGTCCAGCTGAAGAGGTCCGGCAGGGGCGTGGATCGCCTACCGGGCTTAAGTGTTGCCGGCCAGCTCGTCACGCGAGGGGAAGGATTCAAGTGTCCCCAGTCAGCTTGACACATAAGGGGAAGTATGTAAGTGTCCCCGGTCAGCCTGATGAGCAAGGGGAAAGGGTGAAATGTGGCCGGCCAGCTGGTCACGCGAGGGGATGGATTAAAGTGTCCCCAGTCAGCTTGACGCATAAGGGGAAGTATGTAAGTGTCCCCGGTCAGCTTGATGAGCAAGGGGAAAGGGTGAAATGTGGCCGGCCAGCTGCTCACGCCAGGGGAAGGATTCAAGAATCCCCAGTCAGCTTGACGCATAAGGGGAAGTATGTAAGTGTCCCCGGTCAGCTTGATGAGCAAGGGGAAAGGGTGAAATGTGGCCGGCCAGCTGGTCACGCGAGTGGAAGGATTCAAGTATCCCCAGTCAGCTTGACGCATAAGGCGAAGTATGTAAGTGTCCCTGGTCAGCTTGATGAGCAAGGGGAAAGAGTGAAGTGTGGCCGGCCAGCTCGTCCCGTGAGGGGAAATATTAAAGTGTTCCACGGTCGGCTTGACCCGCAAGGGGAAATATTTAAGTGTCCCCGGCCAGCTCGGCACACTTGGAGGACCAGTGTCGACAGTCAAACAAGTGAGGGACAGGGAGGCTTCTCCCTGTCTCCTTCCTCCCTTCCCCCTCCTCCTCCTCACACAGCTTGGTTACCGAGCTGGGGTTGGGTTTTCGACTGGATGGGGTATGCCTCACCCAGCACACAATGCACTGAGGTAAATGAATCCACCTAAAGGAACACTGAGCTTCAACCAGTGAGAGGCTGTAGCCATAAAAACCCCAACCAAAACAGGTGGGGCAATATAAATACTGAATTTTGGAGAACAGACCCACAGCATGATGTGGTCAACAGAAAAAAAAACACTGGAGCAAGCCACCAGGAGAACAAGTCTCTGGGGGAAACATTGGAAAATAAGAGAACTGATGGTTTACACATTAAAAGCACAAACCTTATATTCCCAACCATTACAATTTAGGAAATGAAGTTGCATGATAAGAAGAAGGTTCCCTGGCCAAGCAACCAATCTTGCTAACAAGATACTGTAATGCTCTGGACTACAAATCCCAGAGACGTCAAGCTTATCCCAAGGACGAGCCCAGCTGTAAAGCTTGGCAAAACTTTAATTTCTATTTGTTGTCTGTTCTTGCAGTAAACTTCAAGGAAACTGACTCAGTAGCATTAAAAGTAGTTTACTTGGCTAAAATGCTGTGTGTACAAACTTAGTTACAGGAAAAGCAAACAAATACATCAACAAGACAGGGTGCTACAAACTATAACATGCACCCACTACACTATCTTCTAGTACATGTATGATTTCTAGGAGGGGAAACACTGAAAATGTACTTAGCTTAGGTTGCAGGCTCCACAAATTCCGTGATGAGCAGGACTTGGCCTAGGAAGAATGGCTTCTCGTTGCAGTATCCTTTGTATGTCCTGGTCTTGAAGAAGTCCTCTCGTCTTGTGAAGCGCCCTCGTACTGTCCCACTCCTGTGAAGCCCTGGTCTGGTGAAGTGCTGTACTCCTCAACCTTTCAGCTACTCGCTTTTTATTGAGAGAAACTGGCCACACACTTTGGAACACCGCCCCCCCTTTCACCTTTATCCAAAATGGAATATAATGCATTTCACGTACCCACCTCTAGGTGGCAGCGTTGTACCATAAATTGCCATCAGTAGTCAAGATTTTGATTTGAATCTTGACCAGGCTAGGTGTGACTATTTACGATCACCATCCCATTGTGATACAAATCAATACAGGACAAGCTACACCATTGTGAAAAAAACAGTTTGGTCTGTTTAGGTGGCCCCTTCCATTGTATGAGCCCAGATTTCTATCAAAAAACAAACAAAACCTCCGTCTCTATTGCAAATCTATGTGTGTCTGAAAAAGTCCACTAAGATATATCGCAACACAGATACCCAAACAATATTAGAATAATCACTCATGAAAGTTTACCACAACCCCACACTGGTAAAAGGGGGTACCAAAAGAAAATAGAGGATGAAGAAAACCATCCACTTTAACACCCGGAGGTGTCTCTGGGGACTAACAGAAGAACACTGAAGGAACTGTCTATCTTTAAACTTTTATTGAATAGGACAGGGGCTTAAGGCATAAAAGAGCCTACTTCTGTGGTAGATGAGGGAGAAGGATGGAATTCCTACGACCATTCCACAGACCTGTGTTGAGGCAGGAGTATGTTTTAGCCACCCGTGGTGTTTTTTTAAACATTATGTTAATAACAGAGTAAAAGAGGTGACGTCCCTTAAAGGATAAACAAGTCAGATGTTCTTTAGATGCATAGTCAGTGTTCTATATACTTAGGCAGAGTACTTTGTGCACCTGTACAGACAGGGCCGGACTGGGACTAAAAATAGGCCCGGGCATTTTAGACTGAGCAGCCCAATCACGTGACCACCGACAGGCCCCATCCCTCACAAGAGGGGGCGGAGCCAAACATAGAAGCGCAATCGAGGGGCAGGGCCAGCCACTAGTAAGTACCGGAGGGCTACAGCTGACACACAAGCCTTGCTACAACCAATACACAAACCTTGCAACAATATAGGAAGCTCGCTATAGAGAATATCTGTAAAAAATAAGTCAAGGCAACTGGACTTGCTGTATTTTACTTGAAGACGTTTCACTGGTCATCCAACCAGCTTTCTCAATTCAGAAATTTCTAAATTGAGAAAGCTGGTAGGATGGCCAGTGAAACGTCTTCAAGAAAAATACAGCAAGTCCAGTTGCCTTGACTTATTTTTTTACAGATATGCCATGACCTGGATGAATGAGAACCTTCAAAGACATATTGCTATAGAGAATCGGATCTCACTGGCCCCCCAACCCCCATGGCATTCTCTGCACTAAAGTAGCTAACTCCTCATCCTCGGTGCCCGACCTGGTCTCCTGGTCATCTTCGCCGCCCTACTGGAGCTTCGGCGACGCCTCCTGCCTCCTCCGTCAGTGTCTATGCCCCCCGCATCTTCCGTCTCGGGGGCCACTCGACAAATTTTTTTCTCTCATGGGGGCCGTCTGCCACATTTCATACTTTAAAATAAAATGTAGCTGTATCCAGTTTAAGTAGTACAGACACCAATATACTCACAATAATCCTATTCATATCTGTAGCTTTAGGTGCGATTAGGGATTCCTGCATCAGAAACGTGTGTTTTACTGCAGCAGAAATCCCTAATCTGGCATTTACAAGTGACAGCTACCACCTATTGAAGTAAATGATCATGTACAGTTGCTGCATGTAAACGCCTGCACACCGCATGTAATGGAATGTGATTTGATTACATGCGGTTAGAAAACACTCTCCCTGGATGCACAATCGATGCGTCCAGGAAGAGTGATTGATTCCTAACCGAATGTAAACATATCACGTATCTTTACATGCGGTGTGCAGGCGTTTACATGCAACTTCTGTCACCTGATCGTTAAAGTGACATTAAACCCTCAGATTTTTTAACATAAACCAATGCTGTAATGTGTGCCTTACTGTAATCCATGGTAGTTTCCCTTCTCTTTGCTGCTCTTCCTTTTAAATCCTCATGTCTTCTCATGCTTGGTGAGAACTTCCCTTTGCAGCTGAGTGCCCCTTCCTGTAGTGCTGGTTCAGGTTGCAAACGTACACACAGACACCATGTATACATTCCAGAGACAAGGCAGTCTGCTGCAAAACAGAAGTTCTCCCCAAGCATGAGAAGACATGAGGATTTAAAAGGAAGAGCAGCAAAGAGAAGGGAAACAACCATGGATTACAGTAAGGCGCACATTACAGTATTGTTTTATGTTAAAAATCTGAGGGTTTAATGTCACTTTAACTTAGGTGACAGCTGCGATTTGTAAACGGCAATTTAGGGATTTCTGTTGCAGGAAAACGCAAGTGCCTGATACAAAAATCCCTAATTGCACCTAAAATTAAGGTGTGAATGCAGCCTATTACACTTCTGCTCCCCCCGGTAAAAAAAATACAACCCTTGTACATATATATATATATACACACGCACACACACAACCCCAGTCCGTGCCCCCCCAGCCCAGACCTTAGCAATCGTTTCTTCACAATCCTTTCGGCCAGCGTTCACTGAAGCGTTCGCTGGACGCAAGGATCCGAGTGTCGGCGCAGATTAGGCTACACGGTCTGCATTCGACAGAGATGTAGACCATGTCCGCAGCTGCGATCCCCCCTGTCAGCTCTCTCTTTCTCCTCCCGGCCGTTCTGTAGCTGACCGCCAATGTAACGAAAGTGTTCACAATGACCGCCAATGTAACAAACGTATACACCAAACACATGCTTAAACTTACCTTGTTCTTGCAGTCTTCAGGCAGTCAGGCAGTTTTTTCTTCCTTAGCGGGGGGGGCATCAGCATTGATTTGCATATGAATTAGTTGCGATATTTACATATTGATATGCAAATCACCGCGGCATATTAATATGTAAATATCCCGGCCGGGACAGGGGACAGGGGACAGGAACCGCACCAGCAAGCTGTGGAGAGAGCACAGAGTAGAGACTAGAGAGAGCTGGGTGAGGAAATGTTTTTCTGGCCTCCCCCACCAGCTCCCTCTAGTGTCTACTGTGTAGTAGTGCCGGCTCTGCTCAGAGCCGGCCATCAGGCATAGCGGACCGGCCCGAACACAATCAGGTTGATTGTGTTCGGCCCGGCCCACCGGGCAAGTGCCCGGTTTGCCCTATGGCCAGTCCGGCCCTGTGTACAGACATCAGTCCCATGCAAGACGCAAGCTTAGATATTTGTTGTAAGCCAGCATAACTAAATAACATGACTTTAGATATTTACTCCAGCCCCTCTACGAAATGGGTGGCCTAGCCTAATGGTGGAGTGAGCCCTCTTAAGGTAATCTACTCATTCTGACACAGTTTTGACATCATAATGTTACCACCAACACTGAACAGACAACCAGCCAAGTCAATTCAAACTGGCATTTAAGGTGGAACTCCAGCTGCCTGTCTGTGAAATCACAAAAGGTGAGCACAGCCCCAACCAGTCTAGTGATATTCCTGTTTAGGTGAGTGACTGGTGTATCCACATTGGGAATATTTCACTGTTTTACAAATTCTCTATTAAAAGATAAAAGTCTTGGCACTCTCACATGGGGCCCAGGACCCTTCAGGGTGTTCCCATTCTGCACCGAGAAATGTCTTAAATAGTAATTGTAGTGGAAAGGTCTTTGCAGATGTTGGAGTTTTAAAAGACCCCAGACCTGGAACAGCAGGTTGATCCTCCACATGCACGGTAATACACACTGCATCAATAAGGTTCAAAACAACAACAACCCCCTATATCAGGGGTAGGGAAACTCCAGCCCTCTAGCTGCGGTGAAACTACAAATCCTACCATGCATCTATCTCTGGGAATTATGTCTGTAATTGTTAGCATGTTGCAAAGCCTAATGGACAGGGGCTGTATGTCCATTTTGTTTAGGGGCTCAGGGGCTCCAAGATAACCTTATCTTGAAATGTGATTTTCGAGCACTGGGCTCTGCTTTATGGCTTTTTCCAGACCAGAGTGTACAGTGTTAGTTAGCTGTATTTCTAGGTCCATTCTCAATCTTTTGCCCATGATCTTGTACATCCAGTCCAGCAGGGTCTGGATATGGCCTCCAAAGCTAGGCTGAAGATATATGCAATTTATGCCTATGCAAATAGCTGATATATAGAGACCACCTCAAGGTGTCAGCAAGGAATCTTGATTGAAGTCACAGGGAAAAAAAAGCTTTTTTTGAACAGAGCTGAAGAAAAGGCGTCCAACCTCCTAGGACAATAGCAAAAAACTGTTGCATACTGAGTAGAGGTTATATGGGGTTAGGCTTACAATTTTTCAGGTTGCCATTGTCCAAACCTCCGGTAGGCAGCAATATTACCTGACTATATCTAAATTCATGTGCCCCCCAGTTGACAAGAAAAAAAATATGCCAAAAAATATGTAAACTTTACCCCAGTGAGATTTATGTGTATAAAGACAAAGAAAAAATGTCCCCTACTGTGTTGCCACCTTTTTCTTTTTTTTTTACCTAAACCTTAATTTAGGAAGATATAATACAAATATTATAGAAGAAAATAGTTATTTGCTATTTTTCCATTTTCCCTGTTATTGGGGTATGCAGCGGCGGAATTTCATTAGAGTAGGCTGGCCAGAGTATCAGACTACAGGTGTGGCATGAGGGTTCAAGAAAATTTTACGCTTATTTTTTTGAACACTTTTTTTTTTTTTTTTTTGAAGTATCAGCTTTACATATTTTTGGCATTTTCTTCAAAGGTGATCATCAGTTGCAGCCTTTATAATCCTTTCAATAAAGTTTTCCTTTAAAATGGATCTGAACCCAAAAAGTAAAAAATTGCTATATTATAGGGAGCACGGCAGGTCTCCCCTTTATTGATCGGAGGGAGATCAGCAAGCTTCTAGGCGCTGATCCCTCCTCCAATCACTGGACCCAGAAGTAATGTGTATTATATTACTTCCGGTGTCACTGTGCACACTCTCCCACTACTGTAGCCAGGAGAAGAAGCTGATGAAGCAGATTGCTGATTCATCAGCTTATTTGGGGTCCCTAGGTGACATTAGAAGTCTGACAGACTCCTGATGTCTCCATAAAGAGGAAATGTCACATCATATTTCCTATTACTTAGGGGGCGTGTTAGCCCCCCTATGTAATAGCAATAAAGTTAAGTTTAAAAAAAATAAACATATAAAAAAAAAATGTTAAACGTTTTTAAAGTGTCTCACCCCCTAATACATGCAAATGCAAGCGCAAAGAGTCGGTCGCGCCTACGTGCAAAAATGAAAATTGCGCCACATGTTACATTGGATTGAGAACAATAATTCTAGGACCATCAATCACTGTTAACAATAAACTGATGAGCAGTGAACACTTTCAAAGTGTCGCATATGGGACATTTTGGGTATAATAGTTTTTTTATGTGGTTTCACGCACGCAATTTTAAGCCTTGACATGTTTGGTATCTATTTACCTGATATGACCCCATCTTTTA